AATCGGTCGGTAATCAAGTCCTACTTGAGTCAGTATACTGTGTATTCAAAATCATGTGACTAATAGCACTCACTCTGGCATCCTCTTTTGGTTGTTCTAGAAGTGATGCAAAATTCTCATATCCTTCTTGATCCTGATAGCCTGCTTTCCTCCATTCTGCGACGGTCTCTCCGTGGAATATCAGGATGTGGAAGAAAGTATCCAAAAGAAGAATATGAGTTGGTTGAATGGAGGTAGAATCCAGTAGTACAGGCTGGCTACCATCTTGGTCGAATGTGTACGAGTCCAAAGTGGGCTGTATCATGATCAAGGAGTTACTGACATCCTCGTGGTTGAGTACATGTCTATAGAATGCAGTCTCATCAGGTGAGTTATTGAACACTTGCAAAAACTGACTTCTCCTGAGATGAAACATGAATTGGGGGTAAAGCGTAAAGTTCTTCTCAAGTCTGAAAGAAGATGGGTCATCCTTTCGATAATCGGCGAATCGCGAACACAGACGGATAAGCATTCTATCTACCCATCGTAAAACGTCTGGTCCATCATCAACTTCAGCTTTGAATACAGCAATTCTAGACATCAAGACGGCGGCAGCTTCTTGGTCGAAAGACTGAGCGATTGCGGGATCTCCAGCTGGTCCACTCAAGTTGCGAGAGATTGTTGTTACACGGAGGTGGAATTGGCCTGAGGAATGCTGATAGTAGGTAAGGAATTGCATCATTCCCTTTGCTTGGGCTTGGTGTTGAGCAGGACCAGCTTGGCCAGCAATTTCAAAGTATATTCCGTAGCTAGAGTTGGGGTCAATACCGCACATCTTCCATGAACAAGTATTGCCAATACCGCACTCTGTTTCTCCTACAGAAGTCGATCTCTTGTTCAAAGAAACCGCATGACCGATCAACCCAGTGACCTTCAATTCTTTGGTAGTCAAAACTTCTAAAGAAGCATTGAAGCCCATCAGTAGATTATCATCACCATCCTTCTCGAAGACACGGACGAATGATTGTTTGAACATAGATGATGTGAAACTATCTGTCAAGATCATATGTCCACCAGTCGAGTTTGAGAGGCCCTTCATCTCGAGAAGACCGACTTGATCTAAACATCCAGCAAATATGTCTATTATGTGGCCGTTATGTGCTGTTCTCTTGGCCAGGTTGTCATAGAACTGTGTGCGTTAGAACCGACCATGAAAATGAATCGGGAAACATACCTTGAGGGCCTTTTTATAATATTTGATATTATCTCTGTCGATATCATGATGAGATCTGATTGGCTCCCTCAGTTCAGGACCAACCACTAAACCTGGACCCTCGGTAGCAGGTCCTCCCGCGAATAGCATAATTCGACCACCAGCATTCTGGAATGAAGTCTCTAACAGTCCAACTGCTACGCTCAAAGCCACACCGGTACATCTTAGGTTTCTTCTGTCATTTGCGACGGGCCAAGGATCCTTTTGTAATTGTTCGAGAGCTTTCGTGAGCTGGAACTCGCATTGTTGAACTGGTAGCAGGAATCGAGCGGCGGGTCCCATTGGCGGCATTGGTTTACCAGGTTGCGGTTGTTGCATTCCAGGCCTCAATCCAGCCGCCGAAAGTCCAAGCATCTCCTGAATTTGCTTGGCAGTGTAGTCCTTGCTACCTCTAAACACATATGATTTAGGACATTCTGTGTAGCCGATTTCGTGTACTTGCGCCTAGATTCGGAGGGTTAATATAGAGCAGCGAAGTTGGGGGTGCGAAAATATTCATACCATGGTTCCAAATGTAACCAAGCCAACCAATGCATTTTCCGGCAGAAGACTCAAGCTCATCACAAGAGATTCCTTGAGCGCAGATAGACTGTCCTCCTCTTGACAAGTGTCCACGACATATAGAAAAATGGGAGGACTTGGAGCTGGCCGTGAAAGTCTGTACTCTATCGTGGTATTTGCAGGGTGAAGTTCGGGAGGAATTTGGTTGGGATTGATATCTTTATAATGAGGTGGGAGAGGATTTCGAGATAAGCAGAATGGGCAGATCCAAAGACGTGCTCTGACATCCACTTGACTATTGACAATGAGCTCAATTCTGAATTGTACTTCCAGTGCAAGACTTACCAGAAGGGGTTCAGCACTGATCTACAGGGCTGCTTGCAGATAACTGGCTCAAATTGTAAGAGTGGTGTATCCGGCTTCTCTTTAAGAGGAGTATAGAGTGCGCCGATAGGGACAACAAGCCTCGAGGCTTCCTATAATGTATAAGCTCTTATACCCCGCGGGGTGAAATATGTTTGACGAACCATGCGAGAACTTGGGAAAACGTTCCAACTGAGTCGAACTCCATCACGATCCTCCACTTCACTCCATTGCTCCTTCAAAGCTTCAATATCCATCGTGCGCAACCCTTGAAGCTGGATATTATGTATTCGATAATCGACTGGTAGGAATGTGGGACGAACGAGAGCGGTCTGGGACAAAGTAGCAAAAACCCAGATGCTATGCGATCTCCAATCAGTAGAAAATCAGGAAGTAAACTGAATCAGAAGACTCTGCTTTTGCTTCAGGAGAATGTATTTTGAGGTTTTGTTGTAGGTATCGAGGCCTCGCGGGAGATAATGCCAGGTAGTTGTTGACTTACCTAATCACGGTCCTTTCACAGGAAATAGCCGAATGACAGGTAGCCTCGCCGGGAATGTACCAGACAGATTTCATTCATCACTGACTCCTATGAGATGATAATGCATATAGGTATGTGTATTTTTATACTAATCTCGAAAATTCTTGAATCGACTGATTTTGGGAAGAAATACGTTTCCTCATGGATAACATTTTGAGTCACATTCTCCTTCTGAAGAACAAAACATAACATTTCATTTCCATGCTCATACTTCAGGAAACTCGGGCAGGCAGGAAGGCCTGTACCAAAAAATATCTCTTGTACATCAAGAAGGGCGGTATTGTTGTTCTACAGAAGAATGCAAGTCATTCAACTCTGACCCAGGTATCGATCTACTAAAGTCTTAAGGTTATAGTAGAAATTCATATTTGTGTGAGCAAGGAGCGTGCATTACGTTAGATTCCTAGGTTACACAAAACCGGTGCAGTTTTATTCGACACATATCGCTAAGATAGCTGGAGGCTTCAAGGTGCAATTCAGGTATTATCATTATCAGTTACAGTATTAACTTCTGTAAATGAATTGAGCGGTTAATGGTGGACACATCTCTGAAAATTAATACAAATATCATGCCTCCACATCTCTCAAGCTTTAGATCACATCTATCGTTACATGTTCGATCCTATAAAGCCAGATACACCTATGCCGAGCCACACATTAGTTCTTCTTTCCGCCAATTGGGAGACCTTCTCCGAGATCTTCAAAACCCGAGAGGCCCGGGAGATCTTTTGAAGAACCTGGGAGACCTTCGAGACCTTCCGAGAAACCTTCTGAGGGATCTAAGAACTCTGAGAAATCAGGCAAATCCAAACGCTTGAAAAGATCTTCATGCTCCTCGTTATGCAACGTAAATTCAAAAGATCTTCTGGCCTTAGATTTACTGGCAAGTTCCTTCTTTGCAATCTCGAACTGCTCATCTACTTCCTTCCCGAGCGCCTTGATCTTCGGTTGGTGGGGGGTTGTGACCTTTTTCTGGCAAGTATTGTATAAACCGTCTACATTCTTTTGTAGTTTCTCAAGTTCCGACGCAAAGTAAGTTGCATATCGGGAATTTTTGATCATACTTTTCTATTTAGATTTGTCAGCACTGCATTCTAATAATCATCATAATCCACTGTCCGACAGAGCTGTCGTAGTAGAGAAAAAGAAAGTAAATCGTGGAAGTGTTTGGAGAAACTTACACGTTCTTTAAGAGCTTTCGAAAGTTCTAAAAATTCGGGAGTAAGGTCTTCCAAAGCAGCTTGAACATTTGCACTTTCATTCTCACTCATAGGTCCCGATTGGCTCGCAGCCTTTTCGGCCGACTGAACTGAACTGTAGCAAGTCTTAAATTGCCTATAGAGTTGGACGGATTCCCAGACTCCGCCCTTGTACTTTTGGCACATTTCTGTGACTTTGTGACCCTCAACAACGACATTTTGTATCTTTTGACTGACATATTGAGTTCTAGATTCAAGGGGGGCAGAGAAATCACGCTGGTTGATTGAGATGGCACTCGAGCTTGGGGTAGGACTCGCAAGTGCAAGAGGTGCCAACAGCAGAGCGGAAATGTATGAAAGGTGCATCTTGTTTGTTATGGGGGGTACGTTGTAGATGGAGGATTGCCGTGTGATGGAAAAGTGTCCAAGGAAGGTACTTACAGGAGAACAAGTCATGGATATAAATACCTATAGAAACAGCCAAGCCGCTTAGCTGGGCATGACATCTACGGTGAGACTTTAATCATGGTCGAGCATCCAGATATCATAGATAGCATACGAGTACATCTTCCATGAGCAGTGGTAGCAGCCAGTACATGTTTTCGTACGCATCTAGATTTCATTGGATCGAGAAGCTAGTGATCTGCCTTACCAAGAACCGAATAGAAGGAGCGAGTCTACCTCATTGAACAAGAATTGCGTAAGATTGAAGTTTATTGGAGAGATATATCAAAGTATGTATCGTCAGTGTTATCCAACTCTTGATGATATTCTTGATGTTGATGTCCAAGTAAGTAAACAATGTCCCCACATGCCAAGAGACCCAATCGCACTATTACTCGAAATCAACCGATGACCTAGGCCGCTGCAAACTCAAAACGTACCGATCCTGCCGGTAGTCACTATTTGGGCATCTTTAGGATGGTGCCGTTCTCAGGAACAGATACTAGGGTCATCTCAAGTTCTTGTTCTACGCTAATCGACAATCTAGCATTATAGCTGGCAACTAAATTCCTCACAGAAGAATGATGCGTCATACAGTTTTGGATCTTCCAAAAGATATCTGGGCAACAGTTTTCCTCACTCATCGGTTGCCATGCATCTCAAAATGTAACATTGGCAATAAAGACATGAATAATTGAAATCAATTTCCCATAGCGCTCACAAAATTCACAAATGCCTTCTGACCCTCTTCGATGATCACCGCTGGATCCTGAAATTGTTTCACGCCCGCAAAGTTTGGAGCTTGGGCATTCATCGGCAGAATCTGGGTGACGTTTGATATCAATGGGATTGCATTTGGATCATAAGTCTCAAATAAAGGAGAAGCCGACGTTCCAGTGCCTCGAGGCAAAGATGCTGTTCCTGTCGCAGATGCGCCATTGATGGTCATTCGTTGATCTTGCTGAACCACAACAAATTGTGTATCCTGGGCTTCATTATCTGCTTGGATTTGATGTGTCATATAGCGAATGCTTTTGTTTGATCTATCCCGGGCATCGACAATCTGGGTGACAACAATGATGATAATGTTCTGGAAATTAAGTTAATTCCCGTACTTTTGGCTTACGCTTGAAAGGAAGAAATACCTGCTGCGAGTTCAAACTCTTGAAGTGATTTCTCCTAATGTTGTCCCTGGCGATTTGTGTTCGATCAATGATGATAAGTCGTTCTTGAACAAGCTTGGTAAGTTGAATCTCGCGATTTCGAGAGATTTCCGTTAATTGCTCCTCTTCTGTCTTTGTGATAATGATCACATTATTTGAGTTCGCCTTCGATTGCTGTCTCGAGTTTCTAGGAGCATGTACCAAGCCTCTCGCAATATTCTTATCAGTCTCCGGGACTTGGTGAGGATATGGGCCTGAGTTATGTTAGCAATGGGAATCATACGATCAGCGTATTCAAATGTGTCCAGTGCTGCTCAAACAGTTGGACATCGTTTTATTCCCGAATTTAATCAAATCATTCATCTCCTCCAAAAATGTTTCAACCGCTTCGAATGTCCACCTTGTTTCTAGAAATTTATTTTCTTGCAGATATTAATTCGTTTCCAAACATTGACAACCGAAACACAATCATCTCGTCCGGGGCACTGGATCACCTAGATGAAGTATAGACTAGCACTCACTTGCGATGATTAAGGTAGCGAGGCTCAAGAACAATGATGCCACCAGAGTCAGACGCATGATTTATATTATCAGGAGAGAATGTGATTAGAGATTGATATTTCTTGAAAAGTAGGGCAGCCGCTGGGGCGCTCAACGAAAGAACGATAAAAGTATATGGGGGAAGAAAACGAATACTGGTGAATGAGTGACGAACTTTACAATGTGAACAGGACTGCTGTCATGGTGGGAGAGTCAGCGACTATTATACTACAATTTTCCCCTTCGTGATAAACCGCATTCAGAGCAGAACAAAATACTCCTAGCACGATGTCAGACGGAATCGGATACATTGAGGCTTGTTGCACTTCTTGGGATATTAGACTCCATTGATAATCTTGATGTGATTAAAAATACCTTGGCCAAATTTTGTGATACTCATTGAACGGATGTGGATACATCCGGAAGGCTCCCAGTAAGTGAAGACAGAGCTAAGAGCATTTGACAGCTGAAACCGCATGATGACACCATGTTAAGAACATGAGGAGATGATAGAAGCGTTCATCAAAAGAGGTTTTCGGGACATAATTGGATCAATCAACGAAAGTCCTGAGAGTATCGACTTCCTAGTGTAGTCAAATTAACATGGGATGCTTGGACCCCCTAGTCGTTGTGAGATCAGACAAAACGAAGCTTGTTTGATCACAGTATAAATGTGAGATATAGTCTTATAAGCATAAAAGGTGCTATGCATAATACAATACGATAAGGAAGTTAAGTTTGGAATTGTGAGGGTATATTCCAAGTAGACTAGACGAAGATCAAACGCGTGGTCAGCACGTAATTGAGAAATGTATAGGCACATCTCATGGCTGTAAACTATTGCACCGGCCAGTGGAATACCAAAGACAGAGAACACTTGCTCAATCATGATCTTACAACAGAATATCAAGAGGACTATGCACCAGGAAATATCTACTGTGTTCGTGAACGATGGCAGTTGGAATCTGTCTGATATAGTGCTGTGCAGTAGATCCAAAATCAGGAATACCAGATATCGTATTTCTTCAACTGTGAAGATAAATGATCGCGTCGCGACTTTACCTGACGAGTGGTCAAGAGAGCCATACATGAAGAGAAATCCGTAGACTCTCGAGAATCTCGTCAGTCCAAAATAAGTCGCCTTGCGTAGAGAATCCAACCTAGCCTTTTCTTTTCAATTCTTCAACTCACTGTACTCTCACTGCCTTTCAAATGTATGATAGCAAATCTTACTTTCAAACAAATCTAAGTTCCCTGGCAGCTTCCATTGATGAGAGGGAAAAGGATGAATGCTGGCGATAGCTGTTGAAAATTTATTAAAAAATCAGTTTCTGGCAAGGTGCGAAAAGCTTCCGGTGAGCCTCTTTGTCAAAAGCATAATGTTCCAACTTGAACACAATTTGATTCATGACAGGATGGTAAGAAGACAGATGCACCCCCGAAAGTCATCCATAACCAACCTGATAAAAAGAACATACATTACCAGCCGCCGTTGATGATAATTATTTATCCATTTCCCTTATCGACAGCAAGAGTTTTGCCTCCTCCAATAACATGTTAACGATAGTCCCAAAATGCTCTGGTGCATCAAGCCTAGCACACGCACGTGATAAGTTCTAGGAGCTTTGACCTTTTCGCCTAAAAAAAAATCCCAAAATTTCACCTCCAGAATTTTTATTGCATCCAATTGACTCGTCGCCCAAGAATCTCGAATCGTCCGACAAGTTTGTTTTCGGCCTCAATTACACTTTTTTCTGCACTTTCAATTCCCAAACTTTAAAGCAGAAATGGCATACACACCAAGAGGAAGTGCTCGTGGCGGCGACCGTGGAGGACGTGGAGGATTCGGCGGGGGAAGAGGTGGTGATCGTGGTGGTCGCGGAGGCTTTGGAGGAAGAGGTGGTGGTAGAGGTTCGTATTTTGACAATTCCAATGCGATTTGAATCTTAATAGCTCAATGCGCATGCGCCAATGTTTTGATTGAATTCCGCTGACTTAGTAAAAAGGTGGTGGAGACCGTGGAGGACGTGGAGGTGGTCGTGGTGGTGGAAGAGGAGCTCCCCGTGGAGGACGTGGTGCTCCAAGAGGCCGTGGAGGTGCTGGTGCCAGAGGTGGTGCCAAGACCATTGTCGTAAGTATTTGGAGTCTGACTGAACGTCAATTGAGTACTAACATTTTTTTCAGGAGCCCCATCGTCATGAAGGAATCTTCGTCGCTCGTGGCAAGGAAGATATGTTGGTCACCAAGAACCTTAGCCCAGGTGAATCTGTATACGGTGAGAAGCGAATCAGTGTCGAGGGCGCCGGCCCAGCCAACGAAGATGGTACTCCAAGCACCACCAAGACCGAATACCGTGTCTGGAATCCTTTCAGAAGTAAGATTGCAGCAGGTGTTCTCGGTGGTATGGATGAGATTTTCATCAAGCCAGGTGCTAAGGTCCTTTACCTTGGTTCCGCCTCTGGAACTTCAGTTTCCCACGTTGCCGATATCGTTGGACCCACAGGAACTGTTTTCGCAGTCGAATTCTCTCACAGATCTGGCCGTGATCTTATCAACATGGCTACCCACCGCACAAACGTCATCCCAATCATCGAGGACGCTCGTCACCCACTTAAGTACAGAATGCTGGTCTCTATGGTCGACGTTATCTTCGCCGATGTCGCACAACCTGATCAAGCCCGTATTGTTGGATTGAACGCACATTTGTTCTTGAAGGTTGGTGGTGGTATTTTGGTTTCCATCAAGGCATCTTGTATCGACTCCACAGCCGCACCAGAAGCTGTTTTCGCTAGAGAAGTACAAAAATTGAGAGAGGAGAGAATTAAGCCTTTGGAGCAATTGACTCTAGGTAAGCTTTTCCCTATGTCAACCCACTTGTTTTTGTATAACTAACCATAATCTACTATAGAACCTTTCGAGAGAGACCATTGCATGGTTTCCGGACGTTACGTCCGATCCTTGTAAAACCTCATCTATTTCCTCATCTATTTACCACCATACTACCCGCGCATCAAGTCGCCCTTCAGCATAAACTCAATAGAAGTTTATTTCTTCGAAGAAATTCGAATGACTCTGAATACACGCTTCTTTGGCATGCCTCATCACAAATTACTACGGATTCTCTCTTGTTAGGTTATGGAAGGTTGTCGTTTTTCTCGTTTTAGTACTTTTTTCTATTAGGTGTACATTCAGGTCCTGGCGTACAGGTCTTCATTATTCATCGCATTACTCAGTAGCTTGTCGGAGAATGAGAATAAGAGGAGAAAATAAGAAAGTAAAAATTGTCCAAGAATTTTAGTCTAGTTTATGAGTTCAATTGATGTCATGTTTGAATCTGTAATGTGGTATCATATTTCTTCTAATTCTATTTTGTTCGCTAGATCAGAATGGAATGGCAACTGGGTATAAATTTCCATCTCTCAAAATCAGTGGTCTTCCACCTCCTTGTTGCTCGCTTCATATCTACGCGCTGGCTTGCACTCTCTCCCGAGGTATCATATTCCCTATACTAGTAGTACCCGCAGTGTTCGAACTCAGTCGTTGACCTGGATCTTAGCGGGTTGCAGGCGTTGTACCCTTTCTTGATAATCCCCAACGCTCAAGCTTTAATGCCTGGATTTGTCTGACTCTTCGATGCCGAAGTACTTGATACTAGACCGACATTGTCAAGCGCGAAGCCTTCCGACCTTCTAACTCCCAGCCTCAAATATTCATTTACCGATCCTCCCCACGCCTACCACACACCAATAAGCCAACTCCCTCTTTTCCCTCCCATCTCTATCCCCTAATCCCCCCAATTTTCCAGCCCCATCTCCATCACCAGCCGCATCTGCCTCCCATTCCACTCTCACAAAAACTGCGATTTCGCACACATCGGCGTCCTCTTCCACTCTTTCCTTTTGCACTTCTTCTTCCAATCTCCTCTGTTGCTCTAACCCGGGCAATTTCGTCTTAAGTTTCCCGGGTGTGACTTCGACGACTACGCTTGTCCAATTGCGACCTTTGTCCCAGGGCTTTCCGTGCGCTTCGTTGCTGAGATCAATGCTCGCCATGCTGCCGTGGGTAGCGGTTGAATGTTTCCGATCATGGGCGGAGGCCGAGGAATCTTGTAGGGCTTCATCCCACATATCTGTGTTGGCGCCGACTTCAAATTGGGGACAAAGGAGGATAACTTTGGAGGCGTGCCGATCGGTTGTGAGACCTTTTGTTGCAAGGGATATTTTGACGGGTTCAAATAGGGGATTTTTGAAAGTTAGGAGGAATTGAGTTGGCTTGAGGGGGATGAGGGTTATTTGGGCGGGAGTCGGACTGGGGGTGGGTTGAAGAGGGGAGAGGCTGATAGATGGTATGTAGGAGAGAGCGACCAGGCGGATACGGAAGCGTGTGGTTGGGACTTTGGATTCAGGTTTGGACAGAATGTGACGGCAGGTACGGCAACGTTTGGAACGTTTGGTGCGAAGCAGGCAAGGAACTGGGCGAAGAGAGTCGAGGAATCGGGTTGAAGGTGATGTCTGATTTGTCCTTTGCTCGGTTGCAATTGTACCTTCCCAGCCTTCTCTAAGAAGTTGTGAGACGGCCACAGACTCGGCTTCAGGATCGTAGACTTGGAGTCCTTCGGTTGAATCACACGCTTCTCGCATGCTTGCAGTTTTAGATTTCGTTTTTCGGTCACCAAAACTTCCACTTGTGTAGAGGCCCATTATTCGAGTTAATGCTCCAGGGGACCCATATCCATAATCATTGGTAAATCCTAGCGCACTACTTGGATTTGAGTCTGCCAATTGGCCCTGGTAAAATGATCTTAGGTTCGCATATTGACTTTCTATATCAAGTTTCTCGTTTGGGTCTACATGTTTTTCTATGACCTCGTCCGCCTCTTCCAGGATCGTTTCTGTAGCCAAAGATGTCCGTCTTTCATCTCTATCTCGACGACGTTCTTTTGCACTTATCAGTGGATCACCACCATTCTTTATCTTGGACAATTGTGAGTATACGGAGTTTGGCTTTTCGAATCGTATGCCAATTTCGGTCGAACTCCACATACAGTATGCGCAGTGAAGAATGTAGGGTGCTGCTGGAGATGGCGAAGCAGTGGGTATTTCGGGAATTGGCGCCTCACTGACTGAGAGAGGTGATATACATATTGGGCATTGGAAACAGGATCTTGTGCATCTAAGTGATTGGTAGTACCACATTAGGATCTAGGCCTTTCTTTCAAGGAGTTGACACCGAAACGATAAATCGTAAGGTCATGTTTACTAACCTGTTACCTTCGCTCTTCACTGTACTACTCGGTACCTCGAATAAACAGCTCGGACAATACCAAGTCACAATTTCATCTAATACACATCTCGAGCATCGAATTTGGTGACAATCCTCACAATATAGAAGATGTTCCAGTGGATATAAGCTATAGTTCGCGCGTGGAGCTCTTGGATCAAACGTGCGTTCTTCTTCGTGAGTTGGAGAATCCGGGGGTGTAGAAGAATTTGCTAGAATGGATGTATCAGAACAAGGACACTGAAAATAAGTATATGGCCTAAACGTCGACATGATTGAGTCTCAGTAATGGGATTTCCAAGTATCAATAGGTGGGATTTTTGGAGAGGGGGGATGAATAATATTGGACAGGGGTATATGGAACGATAGTTAATCCGAGCGGAGCTTAATTCTGAGCTAATGACCAATCAAGGAAAGCTTGGAAGTACACCAGTAGAATTTGCCTACTCCGTAGTAGGTACTACCAACTTTTTGCAACTTGGGCAATAATCGTACTATAAGAATAAAACTCATGCTCATACTCATACCCAAGCGTACTAGTTGAATGGGACAGGTTCTCTCATAACTCATTGTCGCCATATTACCATTTTCTATACCTGCTTCTTTTCACAAGAATGTTGTTACTATCACTCTTCATCACACTTCATCACACACATTCTCACGTGATCATGCAACCCTCTGATGCCCGTACCTGCTTTTAGCGTTCGTGATACATAGCTAGTACCTATCTAATAATAATCTTCTTCAAGCGGGCGGCTGCTCTAGGCTCCATCTCCATTCTGGGTGGGCATTGATGGGTGTTGATCCATCCTTTCCTGCCATTCCAATTTGCTTGTTTATATCGAATCATCCGAGTTATGCTCTTATCTAGAGTAGAGTTTACCCAGGACCTAATTAATGCCTTGACGAACCCACCTAGGTTGGGCGAAGAGGAAAAAAAAGCAAACTTCTCAAACAACACCTGCGAGGGACCACCAGTGGACCTAGTATTTTTCTTGATTTTATTCAGCCTGTGTATCGAAATGTATCGAAATGTATCAATCCCACCTCAACTTCCCATCTAACGGACGATAATAAAGGACAATGAAGGTTACCACATCCTTGCACGGCCACTAATAAGAAGGTTCTCGTCAACAAATCAAGCTCCAGCCATACGATTGAACATCCAAAGCGAAATAAACAATAACATAACCGTGCGGGAAAATACAACTAACGATAAACAAACTTTGGTGCCATAATGCAAACAATATCATTGTGAGATTGGAACAGGAACTCATTCGATTTGTATATCATTTCTGTCCTCAACCTCAGACAGAACCGTGGATCTACGTCAATTGACAGTTGATACTTGATATCGAACCATAAGCTCCCTCTGTGAAGAGGCAACCGACAGCTTTCTGCGAGATTTCATCTTCGTCTTATCACTCGGGTTGCCCTATCAACTGACAGCACATTTCAGCGCCCAATTGCCTGGGAGGAATTCTTACAAAGTCACATTCTGCCATTCCTCGTGGGTGAACGAACATTGGCGCAAATCAATAATATCACAACAGCCTTCATGCACGCCAACACTAGGACCTGCTTCGATGGTTTACTACAATCTACGACTGCCATTTGAGTCGCCGCATGTTAGAGTTGGGAATTGGTCTTAATCAAGGTGCGCACCTAACGTTCTTTTCTCAGCTGGATATTGTTTTCAAACCAAACCTTGCGCAACATATTTCGTTATCTATGCTACGAAGAGCTACTGACGCTATGGAAATTATCAGACCATGCCTTCCCCCGAACCCGAAAAAGATGAGACAGCCCCGGCCCAACCTAAGTCTCCAACTGCCCCGCAGAAGACATCACCCGCCAGGAGCACTCCCAATGGTACAGCTATACGAAAGCCAGGTGTCAAGCCGCGGACTCCTGCCAATGCGCCCATACATAAGCGACCACCATCCAAGAAATCGGAGCCGACATTGCTTACTGATTTTCTGCTGGGCAGACCATCAGCAAGTCGCCAAAGACGAAAGAGTCTCGACGCAGTCAAGGCGGAGATGCGGGAGAGCACTGTGAATAGGATTCAAAAGCCAGGAGGAGTACACGATCGGGTTAAACAATGGCAAAAAGCTAGTGCAGCAGCTGCCATTGAAGAAGTCAATGATCCAGAGTCGGGACTAGATGAGATAATAGTGGAGGTGGAGGAAGAGAGCGTGGTTGGGCCCAGTGTTGTCACCGAGGATGACAGGCTTCATGTCAGAAATCAAAATACTCGACCTGGACGGCGGAAGAACAGAGAACCTGAAGATTGGGCTGCAGAAGTAAGGAGCAAAAGTGCGCCTCGAAAAAGAGTTATAAGCGACGATCATTGGGTGGTGAATAAGACCAAGGCCTCTCCGAAGAAAAAGGATATCAAAGTCACAATGCGAGCTATACCTAAAGACTTCCTCCAGCAGACGGCTGCTAATCCCAAGTTGGAAAGTAAAATCGCTGATTGGGTCAAGCGTACGGAGGCTGAGTCGGGGGGGCATGGAGCAGCCCAATCTGCTTCACGAGCGAGTAAGACCCAACAGCCAAACATCCGTGGAGTAAATAAGGGCAAAATGAGGGCCAAGTCTTTAGGGGAAATTATAGTTGAAATAGAGGAGGAGGAGGAACCGACCCGGAAACCGTCAAAAAACAGAATGAAAGTCGAGTCAAGGAGTACTCCAAGCTCGCGAAAGAATTCGAACAATGGATCCAAGGAAAGCCTTGTTAGTTCGTCAAAAGGAAAACAGACCCCTAAATCGGAACCATCCCGAACTCCAGCGAATGATGGCATTCGAGTCAAGGCATGTGGACCGAATGGTCGATGGGAAGATGGCATTAGAGTAAAGCCCGTCCAAGCGAGATGGAGGGATCCAGAGGCTAAGAAACAGACTTCCGGAGGCAACCCTTTTCTCGATGGCATCAGCCTGAAACCGACGCCTGTTAGTAAGGACGGGAAGCAAACACCTCTGGGACCAGAGATCTCGGATGAGCATTCTCATAAGCGTAAATCATCAGAGAAGCACATCAAACCACTGAAGGAGACTGGGAAAGATATGAACAACCACTCCGATGGCGACTACGACGATGCAAATGTAGAAACTCCCACTCGTCGTTCTCCAAGCTCCCGGAAACAAAGAAGGAAATCCCGTTCACCATCTCCATCAGCTGATGGAATTCCCTTTGGCGACTCTGCCTTCAGTACCTTGGATTTGCCTATTGGTGCTGAGGCTGGGAACACTGGAAATAAACCAAAACCCCAAAGAAATCCTAGTCACCTAGTGCCCAAAGTTCTCAAGCGCGTCTACAACGAAGGGAAAAAGATCATGCATGATACGCATGACGCCCCTGAAATGCCTCCAAGAGGTGGTGTAAATCGGCCTCCAACAATTGAGTCTTGGCTCAATAGCACTCCAGATCCTTTCCTTGATGTACCAAGTCCTGTTTCGACTCCCGCATTGACAGAAGTATCTACAGAGATAGATGATAGTGAGAGACATACTCCCAAGCCTGACAGAGAACAGAAACAAGCACTCGAAGAAGAGCGCAGAGGAACTGGGAGTAGACAGAAGCGCGTTCGGAAAACTTCAGATACCAGCTTCAGAAGTCACAACGATAAATCTCCTCTGGGACGTGTTCTGGATGATCCAATCGAGTTCAAGAAGCCCCCCACTCCACCTGCAGCTGGTCTTCGACGAAGTCCAGCTTTACGTGCTGCTTCTCCTCCCGTGATCAAGGCAGCTAAGAAATCGCCTTTCAAAGATGCTATACTAGATGCCTTCCGAGGCGAGTCTACAATTGAGGGTATCTTAGACACAGAAGATGATGATCAAGACCAAGTGAAAGAAAACCACGATGTAGACGATATCAAGCATTTTGATCGTAACTTACAAACACCTGAAAATTCAAATTCTCAGCGTAGCCGCTCTTCTGGTACTTACCTTCAAGTGCCAGACGGACACCGAGACATTTCCGATAGACCGAGGCGGAAGAGAAGAGGTGGAAGCTCTGGCAACCATCACTTATCCAAAATTGCATCTGTTGAGACCTTCAGCACTCTTTCGTCCATAGACACTTCATCTAACCTCACTAAAACTACACTCACCCAAGCTACTACCCAGACTGGGCGGTCTGATTCCAACGTCTCACGCAGGAGAAGCAATAGATCGGGACTTAAAAGAAGACTCACAAAGCATTCTGACTTGGTTTCTATGCTGTCATTACCCGATGCCCCACCAGCTGGTCGTACGAAAAGTATTAGATCAGCTAGAAGTGTGCGTACGGCTCGAAGCAGCCTAGAGAATGCTACTGAGATGGATTTGATGCGTGAATTGGCGGGCGATGAGGCTAAGTATATGAGAGAGTTGAAAACCCTGGTTGATGGAGTGATACCAGTTCTATTGACTTGCGTTCTGTCTAAATCAGACTCTGCAATTGCCGCTGGTCTCTTCAATCCCGACTCTACAGACATGAACGAAACATTTCTTACCAAACCAATTGTCGATATGGGTGTTGCTCTCGAGCGTTTAAAGAGTCTACATAGACGCATACCACTCCAAGATCCAGATGCCCTCATAGTCTGGCTCCAGAGAGCTCATCGAACTTACCAAGACTACACTCGTGCGTGGAGATTAGGCTTCCAGGATGTCGTTGTCAATCTAGCACCAGCTTCGCGCAAATCGTCTGCCGAAGAGAAGGAATCACCTCTTGACAGTGTCCCGCGCAACGCTGATGGAGATATTGTGAACTCAAATGGTGAACGTGTTGATGTCGCCTTCTTGCTCAAGAGGCCACTTGTCAGGATAAAATATCTTGCAAAACTAACAAAGGTGCGTATTTCACTTTTCTTATTACCTCTATAGTAAAGTATACATTGGCTAGGGTCTAACCTATCATAGGGTCTTGATAAACTCAACCATTCTGAACTCTCAGGTAAAGCATTGAAAATATTTGAGGATTTGCAAGAAACAGCTCGTCGTCGTTTTAAAGAAGAGCACGCGAGACTCGAAGATCTATATGCGAACAATACTGATGCAACTCGAGCCCGCAATCCGCAAACGCTTGCTCCAGTTGAAGATGCTCACATTGAACGTACTAGACAAGTCTCGGCTAAAGATTTCTTTGATCTCGATTTCCCACATTCTAATGGCCAACGGATTGAGTGCCGTGTAGAATTGATACTCCGGGATAATCTTTCAGACGAAATTGACCCTGGAGATGTTCTTATCTGTGCATCAGAAATCACACCAGAAGCTACGCATCGTTACTTGCTATTTCCACCAATCGATAGAGACTTTATATCCGCTTGCGCTGGTGAGAAGCCTGATGAGCTGATAATCATGATCCGTGGGATACAAAGACCTGTAGAATGGCGAGAGAGTTTTCTTCTGAAGGGTGCTGAGCCAGAGACTGCTGCCGAGTGGATAGAAATGCTAGGGTCCATCCCAATGCCTCAACCACTCTTGAGCTCGATACCAAATAACGCAGATACTGTATCGATGATGTCTATGGATCCCTCAGAAATAAGCGAAGCCGGCGATCCTGATGATAACGAGCTGCCAATTGGTGCTCGTCGAAGAAGAAGAAAGCACCATTCAAAAGAAAGACCACGATCTTCAACCTTCTCTACTATGTCATCTGTAGAAATTCCAGCCCCCTTAAAGATAGAACGAAAAGAAACATCATCCCCGCCACGGAGACATCGAGATGTATCTCATGATGAAATTACTAGTCAACTATCTAGAAGACATTCCAAATCTTCGAGGTATCATTCTCACACTCGTACTCGATCCACACCAAGTTCACCTCTGTCAAGTCAACTAGTTCTTAATGATTCGGATGAAGAAAGCAGAGATAATGATGATTTTGAGGAGTCTGAAAGTCGTGCATCTACACCAGGCCGAACATCTCGCCGACCCCTAACACCCTCTGAAGAATTACCTTACATACCCAAAGTTCGCAAAACAAGCTCTGCTGCCTCAATCGATAGCGAATCCACCACGAAAGATTACATTCGCCGCACCTCGTATGATCCAGTAGATCCAGACGATATGTCTGGAGGGTCTCGTAGCCCTGATTTTGCTGAAGAAGAGAGTGCTCCACCACCACCGCCAGCTCATCGTTCAATGTCCCCCAGTGGTCTCAAACAGCCAGTAATCATTGAGCCTCCAGCGCCAAGATCAAGGTCGCGACGTACTTCCTCTCCACTGAAACATGAATACCGACCTTCTGATATATCCGATATATCGGAGAGGTCAGAAAGATCCGAGGTATCTGTTTCCGAGGTTTCTGAGATGTCATACTCATCATCTGAAGAATCCGACACAGAAGAAGAAGAGTCATCATCTAGTTCCGATGAAGATGAACTCGATGAGCTTGACGAACTTGAAGCTGCTGATCTTCCTGAAGCCGAACCTGCTCCAACCATATATGGCAGACGTGCCATTTCACCTACAACCTCTCTTTACAGTCTGCCAAATGTTACTTTGGCACCTGTAAATTCTACGCCTCGAATTCCAATCGTACCAAAGGTGGACAATTCAGATATCAGAAGACATGTTGCTACTGTTACAACCTGGAATAATGCTAAGGGTCGTTGGGACGATGTTCATTCGAAGTCTTGTTCCATTATTATTCGTCCGGGATTAATTGAAGTACATGAAATGTCTTCCAGACATTCCTCCCCTGCAGTTCTTTCAACTATCCAAGAGTCCATTGTAGGAGGTTCAGAAGAGGCAGGCTTGAACGAGGACAAGCGGCCATTACTTGGTCAGGTACTTACACCTGTTGTTACACTCCGGCAAAGTAATTCACTTGATATTGAAATTCATTCTCCTCCGACAAGTGATTCTCGAGTTAAATGCAGCCCTACGATCAGATATCACAGTTTACACAACCGTGCATGCGTAGATCTGTACAACTCAATTCACCAGGCTCGCATGAACAACCCAACATATAAAAAGCTAGAAGAAGAACGACTACTCAATTCCTATGGTGGTGCAACTTACGAAACTGCGGTTGCCAGCAAAAAACGAAGCTTCTTGAGCTTCGGACGAAAGAAGAGCTATCGTGCATCAACACGCGCACCATCCGTTGTCAACTCTGAGCAAAGTAGCTCTCCATCTACTTCCCGTCTTTCCGAATCCTTCAAGAGATTAACAGGAAGCTCCTTTTTTAATATTGCAAAGTCTTCCATCGAATCAGGACGTGGATCTAGTCCATCAAGTCTATACACTAGTTCCTCCGGTCTTGCTCCACCTCAAACACCCCATCCTGCAAGTTTGGCAGGTACCTCGACATCATATGGTGGTATTAATCTTACCTCTGAGAATATTAAAATCCGCTTGTATTACCTAGAAACAAGATCCAAGTGGCAGGATTGCGGGAATGCAAGATTAACTGTTACAGCACCACCACCTGGTATGCGTCAAGCTTGTGCTGTGGACCAGGGTATTGAACGCCGTATTCTCGTTACTAGAAAACCCATGAAAGCTGAGGACCCAGATGAAAAGGTGGAGGTGCTGTTAGATGTTGTGCTTGGTGCAAATTGCTTTAGCATGATCGGCAATAAGGGAGTCACGTGTAATGTGTGGGAGGATGTTGTGGGACCTAATGGTGAGGTGGGAATGGTAGGACCTATAGGGAGAGTGAGTGGGAGGACGAGGAAGTGGTGTTTACAGGCGGGAAGTGTACCTGAGGCAAGTTGGATATATAGTTTGGTTGGTGTGGGGAGATGATGTTCAAGAGGGAAAGAGGAAGAGAGGAGCTGTCATTAGTGTTCGTGATGTAACGGTCGTCAATGACGGTTCTAAAGATACCACTTTTGATTCCTTTTTCCTTTTCGAGTCTTGGCATTTCGTTTTTAGTTCTTTTCTTTATTGTAAGAGTGGTTAGGAAGGACAATATATCTGTCCGATAATAATGTATGTATGTATGTATATAGGGGGTTGGATAAGCGAAGTTGAGCGAGCGAGCGAGCGATGCATTAGAGGGGCTACATCCGGCGGTACACATATAAAGGGATGGAAAGGGTATGGATAGGCGGATGGAAGGAAGGATACCACTGGTGAAATTGGGACTCGGCGTTTATTGGATGAGAAGAATGGGTATTTTGGTATATCATTTGTGGTAGCTGGTTCTTGATACCTGTTTGGCTTGGAAAGATGGGTGGGTGTAATTTTGGAGATGGGAATGAGAGTGTGAGGCAATCGAAATATGAACGATGGAATAGGCGAAGATGAAAGGGATTATAGGGAAATCGAGACAAACACACAACACAAACAACGCCACCAATGAATCAAAACGCATATACATTTTATGCGGAAAACCTCACCTCTACTGGAATCTTTGTTAGAATATAACTAAGGCTGTGACCTGGATCCAGAGGGCATACGAGGGTTTTGAGAGATTTCTTTAGGGGAAAGTGTTGGGCTGGGGAGGGGAGGAAAAGGAGGAGGAGTAGAAAAAAATCAAAGGGAGGGGATGGGGTGATACTTAGAGGTGTATAAACGATAATGCAATGGATTCTTTAAGCCGAATATTGTGCTTATTGCGAAGCGAAATAAATGTGTTTGAAACATAACCTTACCGTAAATATATGAGTTTTCAAAGCGTCTGATGATCTGACCTTGCTCGATCAATATAAACTCTCGATATGTGTGAGCAATTTGTAGGATTTTGAAAGCAGTATAATTTTTGAAGCGGTAGATGGCCTACGTTCAAAGTGAATTTGATATATATATTGAGAAATTTTAGAGCGTCCGAAAGCATATCTATTGTCTATCTATCTTCTCGTCGCTCTGTCTTCTTATATCTCGAATATTGAGATCTGAAATGGCTTTCACAAAACACCTAGCAACTCAGTTATTGGTTAATTCAATGTCTAGGTAGAGAGAAAAAAAAGATACAGATAAAAGAACAAAAGTAGGTATAGTACTAGGGCACAGATAATGACCGCTTGTCTTAATCACACTAAAAGATAGCGATTTAATATATCTTATATAATGATTTATTAATATTTATAATCATATTTTTCAATTGAAACTTTTCAAATAAATTTTTATATAATAAAGACTTATATTTTTTAAGTTTTAATATAAATTATAGAATTGATACTTTATAATTGAAATAAAACCTTATAAAAGTTCTTCAAATTTCGCTTATTTTACTAGTAAATTCTGGAATTTCCAAATTACTATATTTCAAAGCTATATAATACAATTAATAAAAATCCTAAAAATAGATTATTCATTTTTTTGCGGTCGCTCACAGTTCTACTACACCAATTAGCGATGAGAGAGTGAACGTATGTAATTCAAAGACTTCACCCTCTACCCTCCTTCCTTCCTGGAAGTGACTGATCCAATCCCTAGTACGAGTTTGGCATTTTATTGGAGACGTCACCTTGTTTCTTCAGAATATCAGGAGATTGTCGAGCTATTGTAATTGCTTTGAAGTGCTTAGAAACTACTCTAGCCGGAATTGTACTTCTTGCCGAATATGACGATCGTTATCGAAGAAGAATTTCTATCTGGTTATAGCATTATTGAATATACAGATATTTATTAAGCATATTTCAAGCCGAAGCCAAAGCCTTAGATCTATTTCAGTTTCAATCAGGAAAGCTTTTTTTAATGAGTAGAGGTTCTCCTACAATCCTAATCCACAAGTCCGTTCTGGAAAGAAAATAATCAGGAAGATTGTATATTACAAAATGGAAACAACGTCGCTGAATACTAATTGAATATCTCTGGAAGAATATTCGAGAGGGACTTGCTGGTTTGATTAGTAGCCGTGTATGAAATTAGTGTCAGGGCTACGTTAAGGTCACTATGAGGATGTACAGCATAGCTTTCATTGCTTCAATTGATACGTTGATCCTTCAGGATAAAGCAGGTTTCATTCATCTTTTTATGTATCCAGTACCTTAGGTATTATTGTAGCAGAGAATGATTCATCTGTCGTATATAAAAACTGGTTGTTTCCTATTACATTTGATTTCTTTCACTACAGTCAACTTGAATACTATCGATTATCAACCTCAATCTCACTCAAACTTCAAGTCTCCATCCTCTTTAAATTTCAACATGGACCCAACCCCAGAAAGCAAACAAGCGACTCAAATTAGCTCTCAACAAGAGATCGCAAAAGCCAGGACCGAAACAGATGACAACAAAGCATCCTCCAGCTTCCAAGCGACAGCCCCCACAGCCGAATCATCTGCGGTTCAGACTTCACCCGCTTTTGGGAGTTTTGTTCCAGCCCCTGGGCTTGCAACATTTGATGAAATTCGCCACAGCATGTTTCCTAAGACAGGGCCATGCAAATACCAGTCTAGCGGATGCACCGAGAATGTATCTGTTGCTGGTATATCTTGTTGGCGTTGTCTTATATGTCATATTTCCCCCATCTAGGGTTTGTAAACTCTAACATGAGCATTGTAATCTCAGAATGCCGGCCGGGAATGATCTTTCAATCTATGATATTTTTAAAGATTAAGATTTCTAATGTAGGTTTGTGATCTTGGTCCATTATTGACATTGCTGAAGAATCACTTACTAGGTCATATTGGACTATGGTCAGGTTACATAGTTGTGTGGAAAAAGGAGAATGGCTCATTCAGGATTCTTTCCAACTTTAATACAGGTATCTGAATAGCTTTTCTCTGTCGTTTCGTTTCATTTCTAAAAAACATGAATTTATTTCTTGTTATCACACTATGGCTTCCAACACCCAAACTTTACCATGGTTTCATTCTCTTTTGAATGATGCCAATACCGACAGCACTCAAGCTCTACCGACACTCCCTCCTTCCTCTCACCTCTACAACAACACCCAAACTTTATCACGACTTCCACCTCGCTCCCACATCTATAGCGATACACAAGCTCTACCATGACTTCCTCTTTCCTCCCACTTCTGCATCAATAAACGTCCACTCAACATCCACAACAATTTTTTTTGCTTCCAAATCCAATCGAAAAGTGTCTTTCGATGCATCTGTGGAAAGAAATTGACAACGAGACAAGCTTATGTTTCCCACAATAGTTTCCACAAACCTGGGTCCTGGCCATGCCCGATAGACGCTTGTCACAATATATTCAAGAAATGCGAAAGGTTGAGAGAACATCTGGATTTTGTTCACGTTTGCAATTCTGAGGAGATCGATAAGTTGCTTGCAAAGCCTGTTTATAACAACGCAGTTTTATCTTCACCACTACCTGTCTAATAAGATTCTATAGTTCAGGTCTGCGATTTTGCAATTATTCAGAAATGAAGAGAGTGTGTCTGAGTGTATTTCGTTTGCTGCTTTTTCTTGGCCGGAGAAATATGATAATAGTATTTAGGTAGCAATAAACGGCTTGTTTAAGGCTACTAGATATTAGCGCTAGCATCTCTAGCAATCTCTTCCTTCTTATTCATGATTTCCTCATCCCACTTCAGTTATACCTTCGGCATAGAGTGGCATCTGGATTCAGATAGAACCTGGTTCAACCTTTCAAGAAACTTTGCCGATCTGTCTTTAAGGTGGAATCTATCTCGCCCGGGAACTTCCAGTCCTGCTATCTCCTTGAGCACCTTACAAATCCTTGTTTCATGAATCACTTCGATTTCCAAATCCACAAGTCCCTCAAGGATTTCAAGACGTCGGGATATCTCTGCTGCTTCGTCCATGCAGTGTACCCCTTTGAGAAACACGGATTGTGCTCTCTCTCTAAACATCCACATCTAGTTTTGATTAACCTTGGACTTTGAGATATTTCCATTCAACTTATCATAATCCTTTGCTGGCCCGTATGATTCGCAGAACTTTCGCACGTTTCCCAATACAATTTGTGTTCTCATCGATCTTTGTAAGAGATCCACTCATGTTGGTTTGATTGCTGTCACTATTCATAGTCGTTATGAAAATGAAGAATATCTTGAAAATAGAAATTTGATGGTCACGGCCAACCGCCTTTTTATATAAAGTTGGAACAAACCATACCTCGCTCTGCCTGCCTTACTTTTATCCTTTACAGTACAAAAAGTTCCGAGATAATGGTAATCTGCTTGTTTGTATCATCATTTACTACTATTATATTCATCTCAATCATCCTACCCGCTTCAGTCAAATACATTGGTTAATCCACAGGATCTTTCACTTAACCACAATCCCATCTAAGACAAGAAAATGGTATGTATATCTGTTGGAAATTCTTTTTTTATTAATTTTAAGCCTTTCTCAAGCTTTTCACAAGCTTCTTCATCTTTTAATTAGTCTAGCTCAAACTCTATCTTAGAATTTACCATGCTCTATATCTTCTCTGACTTGAAAAGGCTTTAATTGACCAAAATTGACCAGAATTGACTAGAACTGACCAAATGACCAAATAACCAAATAACAGTCTCGGAAGTGTTGCCAAAATACCTCTCTCTGGCAGGACCTGCACCGACACTTCCCCGGTTCTTCTGACTTCACGACGGATATTCATTTGAGATAGCATTCAACAAAATCTGCACATCGTCGCCCATTATTTGGTTCTTCACTTACGCACCCTTAACAAATGTGTTTTGTGTCTACTCCTCAGCTTTGTAGACTCATGGGACCGGTTTGAGTGACAATCCCGCGGATTTAGGCGTGCTTGCACATGACCTGCTAGTGTTTGACTAGTGGCCTGCTGGAAAAGGTCCAAAGAAGTTGGCGCAGCGTGTCTTTGCTTTGCAGTTTTGCTTTGCAGTTTTGCTCTTGCGGGCTTTCGTGTTGGTCTTTTCGTACGCCACAGTGGCCGCAACATAATAGCCTGATGTATTGCACAGCATTGCAGTATTCTTGGCATCCAGGTCGTGTCTGGTTATTGTGGAACGCGATTTGGTCTCTCTAGCCAGATCGCTGGCGTTGGAGAGTCTGAACGTCTTCATTGGTCTTTAGGAAGGAGATAATCTATCTGGTGGTTCTGCTGTTAGGATTGGCTCTATGTCGTGAGGGTCGGCAGTTGATTGGGTGTGTATCTGTCTGTGCTTCTACCTCGATATCGATGAGGTTTGCCGTGTTGGTGGGCAGGCCTTCTAGGTTTCGGATTGTTATTGGGACTCCTAGGACCGTGTAGTTGTACTACGTGACTGACTGGTGGACTTTTGTGCATTGCGTGAGTCGAATTATGGTTTCGGTATTTTCTTGGATAGAGGAGTTCACGTATGGCCTTGTATCTTGGGGTGATACTCATCTAGTTCTTGTTGCTGCAATCGAGGGGATGTCCGCAAAGGGTAGTCTGGCTGCTTTGCAGAAAGCATTCCTTATTGCGAAGGGGGCTAGGCGGTTGAGCAGCTTGGTGGGGCCTAGCTACCACTAGTAGCCTCTGGTCTGTGCTAACAGCGGTGCGAGCCGGGCGCTGGTGTGTGCACGAACCCCGCTGTGGCGCTCGTTGTTGGGAGGCTTTGCGGGTCGGCCCTAGACTGGTACTCTCTCATAGCCATACTTGATTTTGATAGAGTGATACTAGTTCCTTGAATTGCTATTTCCACTATTTTTACGTCCTATATTCTACGTGTAAGGTATATGAAAGATAGGAGAAGCATGCTATGAGCTTATGAGATTCATATGCACCATCGTAAGTGCCACCTACCTTCGTTATTTCCTGTCATACACCTGAGTATTTTGGTCTTCCTTACCGCTCGATGAACATCTTCTAGTGCGGTGAATTCTTTTGGTCTTCATGTATGATATTGTTTCACTTGTTCTATGAAGACATCTCACGTTTATTGGCGGCGGCTCCTCACCAATTCGAGTCTTCCACGTCGTTTAATGAGGCAGAGGAAGAGCACGCATGAGGTCATCAGGGTAGAAGGGCGAAATGGAATGAGAATTTTGTGTGGTTATGTGGCACACAAGTCATGAGGATCAAAACAAGATACTGTATAAGATGAAACATGCAAATGGTATCATTCGATCGTGTATAATCATCTACGTAAAAGCAACCGTAGAGCAAGTTATCTAGATACATTCCTAAAAAGTACAATATCGAACCAAGCCATGAATAATGGGCTAGCAAGTACAATGGCAAGACTCAAGAAACAAGTGACCATCATCCCATCAACATATAATGGACTGCGAAAACCCCATTCCATCCAGAAATAGACTAAAAGAGAACAAATGAAGCCGTCATATAACCGAAGAACCACTTTGAAAACAGGTAGGATGAGCCAAAATAACTCCCATCAAGCAACCAGCAATTGACCAATTAAGCTTTAAAAAGACATGGAAGTAAAGAAACACCCAAACACCCGCTTGAGAGTCAAATTACAGCCAACTATTCATCATCATCATCATCATCACCATCATCGCCATCATCACCATCATCACCATCATCACCATCATCACCATCATCACCATCATCACCATCATCACCATCATCACCATCATCACCATCATCACCATCATCACCATCATCACCATCATCACCACCATCACCACCATCATCATCAGCAGCAGCAGCAGCAGCAGCAGGTTTCTTTCCCTTTCTATCCTTCTTTGGAACCTGAACACTAGTAGCCAGAGACTTCGAGCGTTTCAAAACCGATCGTTCATCAAAATCATAGAACTCGCGACCATTTCGATTCCAATTAGATTTGCAACCACCGGGTGCTCGATGAATGCCATGGACAGAAGCGAGTTCTTTCGAGATGTGTTTCCAGAGAGGAGCATCGTAGAGTTTGACGAGATAGGGGAACTTAGCTTCGATTTCTCGACGCCTGACAAGACATTTGTAGAGCTTGAATGTTTCGTCATCGGTCCAGGCCGCGCGACGGGGTTTACTGGTAGGACCGCCTCTGCGAGAAGATCGGGGTGTTTTGCGAGGTTTGGATGATGCTATACGAGCACTTGATGAAGGGGAGGAGCCACATGTAGTGACTGAGGAAGAAGAGACTGGGCCGGTAGTGGCTGATGTAGAAGAAGAAGCTGGTGCATGAAGAGACGATTTGGTAATAGACTTTGTGCGCTTCTTGATCGGGCGGCGAGTGGACTTGATATAATCTTCATTATCGGGAGACTCGTCATCGTCGTGTTCTCGTTTTCTATGAAGATAAGATGGACAAGGGATAGTGTGTGGTGATGTGGGCAGGAAATGTTTTCCACTGGAAGAGTGGGCTGGAGATAAGATGGGTTTTCCACCAGAATAATTCGCTTGTGCAGTTGTCTTTTGCTGAGAAGATGGTGGTGTAAGGTGATTGTTGGTACCTGAAGATTCGCCGTTATACTTCTGCGGTGCGTGCTCTTTTAACGAGGCTTCGATGGTAAGAGCGAGTTGTTGTTCATAGGTGAGCTCATCGAAGTTGGTAACCGACTTCTCGACATAATCTTCATCGTCGGAATCGTCGTTATCAGAAATGTCCGAGATGCTTTTAACGAAGTCCTCTGGCTCGGATTGGTAATCAGAGTAGTCGGCAATCGAAGATTCGTACTCAGGCTGATTGTCAAGTTGGTCGGTAACAGAAGGTTCTTGCTGAGAAGCTTCCAGCTCGGTAGCCTCTCCAAAGGATTGTTCTTCGACAGGCATTTCGTTAACTTTTGCACGTCGAGCATTGAGCGCTTGCTCTACAAGGAATTGGGGGTGTATTGCTGCATAAGCAAATGGCTTGTTAAATGGGTGCGCACTCTTGCCTTGGCCACGAGCTGTAGGGGCTGCTGTCTCGTATGCTGCGGCATCTTCGTCATTTGGATTGATATGAAGACGATATGCGTGATGGAGATCTTGGCAGACTTGATGTTGTGTGAGCTCCGGATCAATCAAGGCTTCGTTTACTAAACCATCGGCTGTGCAACAAAATTGGCCAAGATTCTCGTTCAACCACTGCACTCCGCCGTCCTGAATATAGACGAGGGATGCTATGACAGACAAAGCTTTTTTCGCAGAGTCCTCGTCCATATCCGCGAAGGAAAATTCGGTAGGCTTGGTAAACATCGTTGTGAAAGACTGGGTACGGATTACAATTGAGAGCTGTGAAACTTAGAAGTTGGTATGTTCGAAACGTACGATTGAACGGTCAAAGAAAAAATACATCCAAGAATGCAAGGAGAGAAGAATATAGGTAAAGTCCTACTAAGTACACGATGAGTTTGAAGCTATCTCCAGACAATAGAAGGTCTATTGACTCGATTGTTCCCATTGACATGCTCAATAATGTAAAGTGTTCGTCATGATCGTAGCGAGAGCAATGACAATAGGAAAAAATTGGATTGTTCCAAAAATTCTGCAACGACAACAGAATTTTCTCGCTACTGATTATTGGGCTCAGGAGTGAATTCACCTTACAAGTAGAACCGGAAAACTTTGCCGGTAAGACTTTTTTCGGCGAGATGATCTGAGCAGAGACAACCTTGATAGAACAATAGGGACTCTAGAGGCAGATTCACTATTATTGTATTAACTTCAATGAAGAATTGCGGCTTTGGGAGATATACAGAAGGTGAAAGTCGGACCGGGCGGCAAAGCATCATTATCGGCCTGGGATGATTATTATAACAGTATTGAAGGCGATGATATACTAGAAGGAGGTGGTATGTCAAAGCGGCATGGTACATCGAACAGAGATGGTATGTTGAAAGGAGACATTACATTGGAAGGAGGTGATATTGGTATCAAAAGGATAGAAATCTAAGAGGAGTAATCAAAAATAAGTGATCTGGATACTCAGACCTCAACACGCTACATGGAAGCGCACAGCTCAATTGTAAGGACATCAGGCCGGCGAGAATGAACGATGGAGAACCTCGAGAAGGGTGGAGGCTGGACTGATCACGTGTCAAATATTCACGTGATTCCACCCACTTTCGATTTTCACATGATGTTCGGAAAGACGAGACCGCATTCACGTAAACCACAGCAAATACATCAAGAAAACTTCCCAAGATGCCTGTGACCATCAAAGCAAATATAAAAGAAACAATAATTCATACAAAACTACTCAATCAAGATGATTTTGCAACTTTTGGGACTGTGATTCAAAACCCCGCACCAGCGGTGATCCCATCATCAACGATCAAATCCTTACCATCAAATGCGATACAAGCCAACCAAGGTACCGCGCTCAAATACCTAGATGTCACGCATATGAAGGATTACTACGGGAGCGCTCCTAGTCAACGGGTCGCGAATGCAGTCATGAACATGTTTGTATGCGCACCTCGCTCGCTTCTCCCGTCTCACGATAGCAATATCGGGGGGTTATTTCCGATCATCATACTGGAAAGACATCCTTTCACGACTCAAACATTCATACCTCTCGGGATATCACCCTCGGAGCAAGAAGATGTATGTTACTTGGTTGTCGTAGCACCGAGTTTAACGCCGTCATCAGTCGATGAAACCTTACCTGTCCCCGTTCTCTCCCCTCAAACAAGCACGAGTGATGATAATATCGAGAACCTGCCCGGTCGCGGTTTACCGGACCTGAATAGAATTCAGGCTTTCTTAGCGAATGGTTCACAGGCGGTCACCTATGGAGCGGGGACCTGGCATGCTCCGATGGTGGTCGTGGGGAAGAAGCCCATTGATTTCGTCGTGGTGCAATTTGCAAATGGGGTAGGAATTGAAGATTGTCAAGAGGCAGAGCTGGAGACAACGGATAAGGATATATGCGTGGCAGTCCCCAAGTTGTCAAGGAATGCGACGTGGAAATTATGAGTGCTTTCGTGTCGAGATCTCGATTTGGAATGGACGGGTACTACAAACTGATGTTCTTGTTTGCAATAATTACAACTGAGATCTTCAAAAAGTATCGACGCCTCATGACTTTGACCACTAGTCCCATTCTTTACAATCCCGTGCTAGTAAAGACGTTGATGCACATCATCTCCATTGCCTTGGTAACCATTGATCGTTATTGCTTTGGATTTAAGATAAAGTAGCACCACCGTCGATGAAAGTATCTTTGGTATTTAATGTAGGTCGGCGACCTAGACTGTCGACCACAATATGTACCAATAGAGGTCCCCGATACCTCTGCAATGGAAGACTACAGAATTTCACATGTACATAAGAACTATGAGGATGAATATAATGCCGTCCCAATATGGGCAGCCCCCCAGATCTCGATGATTCTGAATGACAATGCATTCCGAAATAATACTCTCAGATGAAATCCGAATATTGGGAGTGACAAAGAAGCGTTGCAATGCAGAAAGACTAAAAATCCGAGCAACAACATTATCGATATTGACCGCTGGAAACATCAAGTGGCAGAGAACGAAGGGGAATGTGCACCAATCATCGCAAAATTCACTCGTAAATTCTACCAATAAGTGATACCTGTCTAAAGGTACCCCAGTATCTTTTGGGCACACGAATACTGTACAGTGTACTTGAATCGCAAATGATCTGCCTACCGTTTTAAACGCCAAAGCATAATGTCGGCGATGTCTTTAAAATTTGGGGGGGAAAACGTGACAAAACTGTCCCGTCCAGCCACTCACCTTTTTGGGGATAGAGACTAGAGCGGCTCATCAGGTATGTATACATCGAGTAGGATTGTCGGCTTTCTACCTCGTGGTATATTGCTGATACTCCAACGAAAAAGCAACATTTTCTAGAACCCGTTATGCTTGCTTACCACCTACCAAGTTGTAGATTGGCGAGACCTCTTGTCCAAAAGGTTTCTGCAGATCCTTTCCGCCTTACCGGTTTAGTTTGGCTCTTCTAGGCCTTTTTGAGGGTTTCCATTGCTACTGTACTTGATCGCATGCTTACCTGTGGGTAATGAAGCAGGTGAGGGGATAGCCAATGAATCTAGAAGGCAACGGTCGGAACTGTACATGGCAGCGCAAACTTGCAGACGGGTATGCAACTCGATGTACGCAGAATAACATGATCAGCATTGGACAAACAATGTGCACACGCACACTTTCAGCCACATCTTCCACACCGGTTCTTAAATGGATAGCATCTCGCATGAAGCATGAACAATGTTGTAGTATCGTTTCCAGGGCGAACGAGATCTACACGAATCAGATCTGGCAATTGTCATGAGCTGAATAGATACCCCATAACGCAGGAAGCAACGAGAAACGATAGCATTGTTATCAACAGTTATTCTTGCACTGTCAATTCTCTCTCTTGGATTCGAATCTGAGTAATGGTGATCAAGGAAATTCATACATGGTAGCCTCATCTGCTTTCTCGCCTTTTTGCGCAGCGCCTCATTCATAAAATCGCCAAAATTAACCTAAAAGGGTAAGGTGCTAGGGCAAGGGTTCCTGTGTTGGACAAGGGGGAAGAGCCGTTTCTAGGTCAAGGCTTAGGACCATAGATATTCCATACCTATTACCAAAACATTCCCAACAACCATGATAATCCGTATCAAGGATGCATAACCCCAGCTATAAGATCTTGGTACTCATTTTCCATCTTACTCCAAACGGAGGAAAGGTTTGCGAAGATGGGTACATATCTGATATCCGTCATTCATAGCGTAACACGAAGAATGAAGATCCCTTTAAATCACCTTCAGGGTGCCCTGTCAAAGACGAGACTTTCGATCTGAAGATCAATAAACTGCCCCCGTTATCCCCATTTATATCTCAACCTCAATTTATTTTACGGAGATCCCGTCTTTATCATCCCCACATATAAACAGATCGGACTGAGCAGTGGGCGAGCCCGTCATGGTTTGGCGTAGGGCGCTTGAAGTATCTGTTCAATACCGACATTTGAAGGCTATGATGTTTTTACCTCAAGGTTCTTAATTTAGGAACAACAGTCGGTACATCAGTCTCGGATTTTGAATTGATTGAGCTTACTGAACATAGAGTTGCTACTTGTCAGAGATATATTGTAGGGGAAGAAGTGCTTCAAGGTTAGCACCAGCGAATATCTCCAAGCCTAGAATGCTCCAAAAACTTCTCCATACATCAGCCTCACTTACCATGATACTACATAATACCACCACTTACCATCTCGAGCCTCAATAAACTTCTACACCCCCTCGTACATGCGCCGACGGATAGAGCTGTGAAAGGATCCCGTCACAGGGGTAACCAATGCCATGGGATCCCCCATCTCTCGCATATCTGTCTCAAGGATGATTATTACCAAAAATAGCTTTCCAACGGATTTGTGCTTTTTCTCGGGCTTCCATTTCCATTCCTTCGACGGGTATCATACCGACGCTCATATCCGTGTATCTGGATCCATTGCTGAGAGGCAAAAAAAGAACTATACAAATCTCACATGCATCCTTGAACAATATATATATCAAGGGTTCATTAATTGTGGTGCCTAAATATCTATCCTGGAAGCGAATTTCTGAAACTTTTCTACAGTTAATGCTCCTTACATTGATATGATATCAGGGATGCGCGAGCTGGAGAAATAAGAGTAAACTCGAATACCCCATCTTGGATACCCAAGATCAATATTAGGATCTACATATAGATGGATACGTAGATGATGATTGGAAAGGCCCTGATCGACCAAGACTCCTATCCGTGTCAGGTAATTCGTCGCTCTTTACACAGGCTGGGGCATGACGAGGGGAAAAACAATCCGAATGTAACTCTTCCCTATCTGCCCATGTTCTGAACTCCCATATGACATCCATTATATAAAGTCTATCCAGCTTTATGCCTAGTAACGGTGCACCACTACGCCATCTGTTTCGGTGCCGACGTGCAAACCTCTGTCCCAAAACTTTATCGGGAGGCTATAAGTTATAGCATATAACATATTGACATTAGCTTTCCAGTATCCTTCATATACAAGTTCAACCCAGCTTAACCTTTGACAGCTGGCAAGCTATTCGCCCTAACTAATCTAATTCAATACACTAGTGAACGTTTTCTCATCAAATCTCTGGTGAGCTAGGGAGTATTCATTCGCTCGCTCGTGTTCGTTCAGACATGGATCAAGGCACTTCCATCTCCTTCTTCCAACTTTCAGTCACTAAGCTTGGACAATGCAATAACAAG